TGTCCGTACCGAGGCTAAATATGGAGCAGCGAACACTATTCAAGAGAAGTTAGCAGTTAGCATTCAATAGTAGTCAGTCAGTAGTTAGTAGTGAGTGATTAGTACTGAGTAGTAAGTATTGAGCCAGTTACTAGAGAAAGAGTAACCAGTTAATTGCAGTCTAGTATTTCTGATACTGCCGATGGCAGTAATTGTGGGATTGTAAATGATGTTATTGTAAGAGCGAACGTGTAATAAATTCTTTATATCAAATAAGGCGTGAAGTTACTTGTCGCGTGATATATACCCAACACGTCACAATACATATCAATAATTCAATTTTAACTTGACTAAATGATCACTGCCATTGGGTTACACATCCATGAGTAACTAATGTACTGCACATCTGATATTCGTAACTACAAATAATTGCAACACTTTTACTCTTTTATACGGTCTAGAAATAAATACAGCCTTAAATATCTGTTATATTCTCATTGCGGAAATGATGATTGGGCTTGTTGTTTCAGTCCTCTCCGTGCTGGTTAACCACTGGCTTTTGTGAACACAACTGTCACAACTCGGTTGGCAGCTCTGCTTTTATACTCCAGCAACAGGCACATGTGACGTCAAAGTACCTCTTTGCGTAACAGTATCACTGCTGTTGCATCGGAGAGAGGAAACCTACTGTGACGTCACAGTGCGACGTTGCCGGGAAGTGTTTACTGTCTGGTCATATATATATGTGAATGCCCTAACAGTCTTTGATGGAGAGTGTGTATTTAGGCAACATGCAACTCCGTCTTGTCTTCTGTTTTTTTAAGAAATAGAAATAATGGCTTACTTTAAGAAGAAAAATAGACAGAATGCAAGAAAACAGGGACCCATTAAATGTCATAACCATGTGTTGCAACATGAAACAAGAGACGTAGGAAGGTCTGTACAGACAGTTTAATTCCTGGGTCTCTGATTTAGCTCCAAGTACAAAATTAGCGAGGAGGATGGAAGAGGATTATATGAAGTTTGGGAGATTTATAGGCCGACTTATAATGGTTTGGGAAGCGACACTACTCACAAAAATAGAAAGAACTGAAGAAGACCGTATCCTGCGACATGCACCGATAAATGGATTCACACCTAGAATAATCGTCTGTACCGAAGGATGCGGCAGAGGACGAACGCCCTGTATGCCGTTATTGCACTGAGCATTAAAGAGGGTAAGAAAGTACCGTTGTTGGTGTCGCCGCATCACTGCAACTGTTTCAGTCGTGTTTAAACAAATATAGCTAGCCAATATACGCACGTCTCTCGCCTCATAAGACAAGGCCAGCATTTGTGATTCCTCCTTAACGAGCATTTTTTAACCTGTAGAATAAAAGGAGCCCGACCGCTGCCATGCAGCAATACAGCAAACCTTCCCCATTCCGGTTACATCTAATCCGGATGTCGGATAATCATGATCGAAATATGGTAAATAAAATGCTGTTCGCACTTGAGTTAGGAAAGCTAAAGCAGCCCCTGTGTTTAATGACTTAAGAAATAAACCGTGGTTTATTCTAGAAATTAATGTAATTCTCGTAAAGCAGGAACCTCAAGGAGAGAGACATGCGTATACTTGGCTAACTATATTTGTTTAAACATGACTGTAACAGTTGTAGTGATTAGGCAGTCCCAACAATGGCAATGTTTTTATTACTCACTTTCAAAGTCACTAAGAGAGGAACTCCTCACCTGTATGTTGGCCGGACTCACCGCTGCAGAACGAGCAAAACATGCGATAGGAGGGTTTTATTTATTTTGTTAATTCTGGGTTATATAACGCCGCTACAAATAGCTAGACTTCGTAGCGTTGCCCAGTGAAGGTGGAAGATTTCGGGTAGAGAAAGGGGGTCCCTGAGAAGGAGGGTAGAAGTATTATGGGACGATGCATGATAATTCTTTTGCCTCCCTGCTATAGTTACTGTGATTAAAACCGGACGCTAAATAGTTTCAGATTTCATGTAGCTGCCATATTTTTTTGTTATGTCAGACCGCTTCTGTTGTCTAGTGGTCAGATTTCCTGTCTACTTATCCAGAGGTCCCGATTTCGGTTCCCGGTGCTACCATATTTTCTGAAAAGTAGTGGGTCTGGAATGTGATCCATTCAGCCTCGTGAGGATAACTGAGGGGCTATTTCAAGGAAATTGTGACTCCGGTCTAGAAAACCTAGAGTAACGCCCGTTGGGATCCGTTGCTCTGACCACGTGACATCCTCTTTCGGCAAAGTTTGGCAGTAACTTCCCCGACAAGCTCCAGTCGCTCGGTCGGTATTGTTCACTTGCGGGCTACAGGTCACGGAGTTTGGTTGCGTACCAGAAATTACTCCAAGGAAATGTACACGTTTTCGAATATCTGATCCTATACAAAATTTTATCACATGAAAAAATTGCGGTAGTGACCTCGGCTATCCTGACTGAAGCTTTTCGTGATATTCCTCCGTCCCTCCAGGAAAATGTCGAGATAACAGCCCAAACTAGGTCACAGTCCCTTTAGTCCATATTATTTCCAATTCTTTTGTGGGAACAGTGTTCGCTTGACTGTCGTAGCGTACGGACCGGCTGCTCGTGCTAGTGAAATCGCTGCGATAAGAAGTGACTAAACAAACCCGTCCAAGTTCATAAGTGAATTGGATAACTTGATAAGTAAACAAACCAAGTGTATAAAACCAAATTCAAAACTATAAAATGTTTCCAGTAGGTAACGGACAAACGCATTATAATAATGCAACGAGCCAACAAAACATGCAACAAGCACCTAATCAACAGTGGACATCAGTACCAAACAATCAGGCATTCCCAATCCAGCCAACAATGCAATATCACGGACAACCACAACCCGACAAGTCCTACTACATACCAAACAGCCATTACAATCAACCAAATGAGTGCATCCAACAACCTATTCAAGTAACAAAGTACCCACAGCAAATAAATCATATGTTATCGACCAGTGAAGAAGAAATAGAAGAAGACGGTGAAACCTCAACTCAATCACCAAATAAAATAAACTGGCAGGTACAGAGAAATAAAAGACGAAAAACAAACGCGACAAATCAACACAATATCATGGAGGTTGGTGAACTACCAACAAGAAATAGATATCAAGTACTCACCAATAACACTCAAGACGAATCTGGAGACAACGCCGGCACCACAAGTGAAACAATCCCCAAACCTCACGCAAAACCTCCCCCGATATTTGTGTACGATGTAATAAACTATCCAAAGATGGTAGAACAACTAAAAGAAATTGCTGAGGTAGAGCACTATAGTACGAAATCTTTAGCAAACAACGTTGTAAAAATAAATTGCAACACGCCAGAAGTATACCGACGAATGATAACATATATGAAAGAACGCAACATAATGTACCACTCCTATCAAATAAAAGAAGACCGTGCATACAGAGTCGTCATAAAATATTTACACCCANCCTTCAGGCCACATCAATAAAAGTAAGGACATTGCCTTATGATATAACAATAACATAACAATGCCGAGGGGGACATATTGTCTCCCTCGGCATAACAACAAAAAAGAAGACTATCAATCATTCTTCTCCACCCTGGCAAATAAATTTATCGCCGGAGGCGACTATAACAGCAAGCATGTACTTTGGGGATCCCGATTAACAACAACTAAAGGAAGAGAACTAGCAAAATTGATGCAAGAAGAAAACTATTATTATATGTCTACTGGCACACCAACTTACTGGCCCACTGATCCACAGAAGACACCGGACTTGCTAGACTTCTTCGTTACTAAAGGACTATCCTCCACATATGCTGACGTAACTCCAAGCTTTGAACTCTCATCAGAC